GGAAAGGGCACTCCACTTCCACTGTCCTTCCCTCCTTAGGTGCACTGGAGAAGGCCCAGCTGTGGAGCAGTGTGGGAAAGAAGGTCCCATGAGTCCTTACACTAGACTGCTTTTTCCTTTATATATGGGGTGGCACATGATCAGCAAAGAGGATCCTTCACTGCTCATGGGTTCCACTGCTTACACTGATGAACCACATAGGTGGAGTCCTCCCACCTTACTGGAGTGAGTTGAACCTTTGGACCTGGCCTTTGGGCTAGTGGATCAGCATCCAGAGAGAAAGCCTAGCTCTGCTTTCTGTGAAATCTGTCAGCCTTGGCATGTCTGTTGTGCCTCTCAGAGACACCCTTGGTGTAGCAATGCACACAGAGAAAGATTTCTGCTGGTGTTACCCCTGGTCCAAGGCACCCAAATGCCACACAAACTCTTTTTCCCTGTTTGATCTTGGGGCTTTTTTTCTAGGAGAAAGTAACAAAGCTGATGAAGGGCTGAAAGGCATGTTCTATGAGGAACGGCTAAGGACTTTGGGCTTGTCTAGTTTGGAGAAGAGGAGGCTGAGGGGCGACCTCATGGCTCTCTGTGGGTTCCTGAGGACGGAAGCAGAGAGGGAGGTACTGAGCTCGTCTCCCTGGTATTCAGTGATAGGACGTGTGTAAATGGTTATATGCTGCAGCAGGGGAGGTCCAGACTGGACGTTAGGAAGCATGTATTTACTGAGAGTGTAATCAAACACTGGAACAGGCTTCCTAGAGAGGTGGTTGATGCCCCAAGCCTGTCAGTGCTTGAGAGGCATTTGGACAATGCCCTTAATAACATGCTTTAACTTGGCAAGCCCTGAGTTGGTCAGGCACTTGGACTAGATGATTGTCGTAGATCCCTTCCAACTGAAATAATCTATTCTATTCTAGTACTTTGCAGCAAATTTTCCAGGTCCTTGAATACTGAGGGATGTTACAAGCCTCATTAAAACCTACCCCTCAAGAAAAAATATGTAGTTAATATCCACCTGTCTGCCCTAATAATTTGTTTATAGCATATTGTCTCAGTACATTTCTTCTCTGTTTCAGGGTGTGAGTTCAAAAGAGCAGTGACTGCCTCGCCATACATATATACAATGGCTCATACCATGCAAGATTATAAACACAGGGTTTATATATTGCCTTTTTTCAAAATGTCCTGAGGATATCTTTTTATTGTTTAATATGCTGCAGAGCATTGACATCCTCACTGGACAAAACTGCCTCTATTCTGGGATTGAAGCAACATAGCTACATGATGCTAGCACTGAGCCCTGCTGACAATGTGGGTCCATCAGCTCAGGCAACATAGCTGCGTTGCTTTGAGCTCTGAACTAAAGTGAGCATCCTGAAGAGCTCAATGTTGGATGAAGATGAGAGCTTGGGGAATCACTACACTGTAATCCACACTGGGATGGGGACATACCCGAAATAGCTTTGGTTTGTGGCTTGGATAAAAAAGCAGCAAGACTTGTGGTCTAAAATAGTCAGGGATCCCTGAAAGGCTTTGTCATCATACTTCTCACTGTTTGGTATGGAGCCATGGTGGCTTTGAACATGCACCCGTTGCACTCGTACCTTTAGGAAGTTGGTGGCTGGGGAGTTTCATGGCTTGAGTGAACCATCAGTGGCAGCACAGCCCTTTACCATCATACTGAAAGAGGAAGGGGGGACAGCAGTGGAGCATCCGGTTGCCAAATAGACTTAAAATATATCAAACACTCAGTGTAAGCAGCTGGCACCAGGTGCTACGTGACTGTATGAGATGCTGTGGTTTCGAAGGGGAAGTGGCTGGCTGACATTAGAGGGTCTATGGGAATTTTTCAATAAAGCCACTGCCTGTACTTTCATCACTGCTTGTTTCTACGTTATTAGATTTGACACAGCTGTTTCTTGCAGGGCTTTTCTTTGAAGAGTTAGAAAATCCTAAAGCTGTCATGTAGTGAGTGATACTCTTCTATAAACTATCTGTCTGGACTTCTATAAATATTGCTGACTCCATGCAGGGCATTATTATCTAATCTCCCTGGGAACATCTCTAATCACAGTATACCCGCCCATGTCAATCTAGGACACATCCAACCCTTAGAAATAGCAGTGGAGAAATCATAAAATGTTCTAACACATGGAGTTGGCAGACAAGTGCGAGACAAGATCACAAACTGTGCAAAATGAACAGTTTGCAAGTGAACGTGCTTCTCTCTTTCCCCCATCAAAGTGCCGGCTGAGTATCTTATGATGACTTCACATTAACACACTAGCCTTCTTTTTTTTTTTTTTTTCCTTCTAAATAAATTTCCCTTTAATCAGAGCTGCCTACTTGACAGTAATGAAATTACTTGCAGAGGATAAAACATCAACTTCTGTTCCATGACCAGAGCGGTCTCTTTTTTTTTTCATTATGAATTCATAAACAATTTTCCAGTTGAAATAGGTCTGAGTGTGATGTTAGAATGAGTGTTGTTTTAAGTCTGCTGTGGAACAATTGCAAAAACTAATTATAAGCTCTTCATATGAACCAATAGTGAAGGAGAATAGAAGTCAGGAAGAACTGGATGGTTCTATTCACTTTTATCTTAATCGAAGTCACCATTCAGGAAATGGATTGTGAATGCTAGGGAGATTGTTTTCTTAATTTCTGAGTTGGCCTTAATATAAATGTCTTCCTTGGAAAGGCTATCATCCATTGCACAAGAGTCTAACTGCAAAGTGTGAATTTCTGATAAGCCCATGTAATGTTTTATGCTGGAGATGGTTTTTTTTGTGATGATTTTAGGGAGCGGTTCTCTAAATTTGTTCACTTAAAAAGAAAGAAAAAAAAAAAAAGAAAAATTAAGAACAGTAGACCATACAGGTAAGACATAAAGCAGGCTCTTCCTGGACACCACGTATATGACTTATGAACACCAGCTTGCATTGTCTGGCTGAATATAAAATTACTTCATATTCAGCAAAGGCAAACGGATAGTACTGGCAACATTCCAGGTAAACAGGCTCATGCAAACAAGACGATAAATATATGGCTGCTGCTGGTTGTTTTTGCTGTTACTTATTATTTATGGAGCAACGCTGAAGTGCGATGGAGTATGTGATATGAAACTTTTTATTGCAGCAGTGCTTAGAACTTCACAGGCATTTCCAGGTTTTTACCCTAGCCCTTAGGCAGAAGTTTGAATTCTCTGTCACGTACCAGCCTGCATAGCATTTAAGCTGTACAGGTACCAATGAGATTACCATTTCTCACAGTGTCTTATTACCTAGTAGTCAGGGTATCACAGTTGTCAAAACATGGGTTTAAAATCTGAAAAATCTGGGGCCCTCATATTTTATTTTTTCAATTTCAGGAGTGCCATAACATGTAGTCATTATGCAGAGTAGAGTTGCCACCTTTGAGAGCAAGTTCTGGCATATGCGCGCAAATCCAGGAAAAAGTTTAGTGTTTGTGACTGCTAACAAGCACTTTGCTTCAACAAAAGGATGCTACCTGCTGAAATAAATGGGTCATAAGCCCATAAGTCTCCGTCCTTGGAGATATTCACATGCCATCTGGGCATGGTCCTGGGCAACCTGCTCTAGGTGGCCCTGGTTGAACAGAAGGTGCCCTGGTTCTGGCCAGAACCAGGACAGAAGGGTTGGACCAGATGACCTCCAGAGATCCCTTCCAACCTCAGTCATTCCATGATTCTGTGTTTCCTCTTAGCTTGCTTCAGCAGCTTTAAGCCACAATCTATTGGAGCTATAATTCTGATTTTAGATGTGTAACCTCCCACAAGTTTTCTCACTTTTACTCTTCCGTTTTTCTCCCCCATCCTGCCGTAGGGTAAGTGAGCGAGCGGCTGTGTGGTGCTTAGCTGCTGGCTGGGGTTAAACCACAACAGGGACACAATTACAACACTCAGACCTGTGGATGACAGTTATCGCGTCAGAAAAGTATTCAAACCACTCAACGTGAAGAACCTGAATTAGTCAGCATAGGTGTAGGAAGAGACAAGTACCTTCATGGCTCTATTCAGAAAAGCTGAATGTAGTACATATGACCTGTGGCAAAGCAGTATTTTGTTTTTCTATTCTGGTTTTGGGGTTGGGTTTTTTTTTGGCAGGAGGAGGGGTGTATTTTAAATGAGGAAGCTTTTGAAAGGGGAGATTTGACAGAGTTTCCTAAAGATGTTCATACACACCATGAGAAGGCTTAATTCCCATCTCACATATTCTAAGATCCCAGGAGTTTCAGATCAGAGCCTGCCCAACTGATACCTTATAAATTACAAAGTCATCCCTGATGGGGCAAGAGGCTCACAATAAATTGCCCTAAAAACTTGGACCAGAATCCAGTGAAGTAAGAGATTTGAAAATGGTTTTTCTCACAACAGCCAGGAGCCTGAGAAGGAAGGTAGCACCTTATGGTATTGTTTGTTTTTATTTAGGTATCTATTGCATATGTGTTCATGAAAACACAAATCAGCTAGTAAGGATCCTGCAATGGAAGTTATTGCAAGCTATTGTCTGCTCAGCAATATTTCTGTTGAAATCATTCATATGATATAATACTGTGAGGCCAAAATCCAAATACTTGGGGAGAATTCTTGAAACATTTAGTCTAGTTGGAGAAGCAGATTGAAGAGATGTCCTGCATAAAGATGAGCCACCTTGCTTTTGGGCAACATTTAAGCAATGGGTTTGGAGAAGCCTGTTCTTCAGTATGGTTTTGTTCAAAATTCTTGTGAGGGGATCTTTTATTATGCACTCAACTTTGATGATAATTTGTGGTGATTGCTCAAAACTAACATTTCCTTCTGCTATCAGCAAGCTACTTTTAGAGAAAATTTCTCTAACATATCCATATAGGTTTACATTCATCTTCAGTGTCATTGAAACCAATTCTCAATACACTGTATGTTTAGTAATTATGTTTAATATGCAATGATGCAAACAGATTGGTGACTCCTTTCCTGAACTGAAACAACAGCATGGAAGCAAAAATATAAGTATAGATTTATTAGAGAAGTTATCTAAAATACAATATTATTTTCCTCTTTAAATTAGAGCATATATTATTTCAATGAAAAGATACTTTTTATTATTTCTACGGTAATAACAACTTTGAAAGATAATACTTACTTTAGGACATTTTTAATTAAAAAAAATCCAACACTACCATTAAGACATAATCAAACTTGTTGATAGCATGAGTAAAAGTGTAAAACAGTCTTAAAAATATTTACATGTCAGTTTCTTAAAATCTAAGAAGTCTAATTCTCAATATTCATTTTGCTTTACTTTCTCAAAATACTTTTTTGTTTCCAAAATCATACCTATATTCTGTAGTCCTGTGCTTTTCACAAAGCTTCAAGTTATCATTAGTTACGTGTACTATCACACCTGTGGATGAGGTTTCTTAAAATGGCTTATTTCACTATCACCATATCCTCTCCCAAGATACTGTTATACCAAAGTGTCAGCCACAGTAATAGTCACCAAAATGCACACAGCCACCACCCCCCCCCATGCCTCCCCCAACCCCACACCTTAAGAACCCTTTCCTATTTGTCCAAGAGCCTTTCATATTTCATTAGCTGGCATTTTAGATGCAGAGCAAAAGAAAGAATGGATCTGGGATGTTGCCAGGGCACACATGGCAAAGGTTTGATTTGTGCTTAGCAAAAGGGGCTGCTCACAAACACAGCAATTTCTAACACACTCAGCGCTGAGGTTACTGGAAGGAAGCTCTGACTTCTCTGCTCTTCAAAGGTTGACACGGGCGCCAGTTGTCCACCATATGGCACACAGGCTCATTCTCAGCACTGAAGCAAAGGCCACGGAGTTTGCACATCTGTTGGAAAAGGCACAAACATCCTCGAATCCATACTCATTTCAGCAGGCCTATTTGAATTACACACCTTAGGGCTGAGCCAGAGGTCCAACTCAAAGTTTCGCCATCACTTATGGTCTAGAGATGGCATCACCGTTCAGGTGTCTCTGCATTTCATCCACACTATTTCCTGCCCCTGACACAGGCTCTCCTGTCCACAAAACAGCCTAGCAAGAATAACTAAGAAAGCACAGAAGACAAAGACCTAGGCACACATTTTCAGAATTCTGCAGTTGAAGAGCTGTTTGTCCTTGATCCCAATCTGAATTGAAACCCTTTCAGAATCCTTTGCAAGTTGTACTGTTTTGGCTCTTTTGAAAGTTAGATTTTTTAAATCCAGTTGAAATAAAAAAAAAAAATTAAAAATATTAAAAAAAAAAAAAGGACCTTATCCTTGGGTCAAATTACAGCAGCCAAATTCAAGATCATCTTGATTTTCAAATACTGTGAGAGAGAAAACTGCTCCATATCAATGAGAGCATACTATAAGGTTTCAGTGCCTGTTCCTAAAGTAAAATTGGTGTTTGCACAGTCTGCTTTAATAAAAGCACCCTGATGTCTAAGAGGGCATCTCCAAAACTAAGAAAAAGACTGTGCCAAAATAATAACCTGCCCCAAATGTGATCTCACATAGACAGCTGGAACTGCTGACAGAAATATGAAGGTGGGATACAGGATTTTGTACGAGTCAGGCTGCAGGCCAGGCTTTCCCCCAGTCAAGGAGTAAGGCCCCTAGCAGCGACCAGCCCAGGAGAAGACTTTACCTTCAGGACAGACCAGAACAAAGTTCAGAGCTCAACCACTGCCAGGAACTGCTGTGTCACTACAGCAAACGATAATGGGCTCACTACACCCTGCTGGAATATCCAGCTTTTATCTGTCTTTGGAAAACTAGTTCAACTCAAATCCAGTGTCAATACTCTGCTTTACGGTTTCTCATTTTGATCAGTTTTGGAATGAAAACGCAAGCTGCCATACAAAATGTTTTGATCTCAAATCCATCTTTGAAGTGTCGATGGTAATATGAAGGGGTGTGTGTAGGAGAAACAAGTGGTGTCTTTTACCACCTGTAGGTGGTTAAAGTAGGTGTAGTAGGAAAAACAACTCAATTTTGGTGAATATGCTGCTTCCCTACAATAAAACCATATAGATTATCAATAGCAATACCAGTAGTTTCAAACAAGTAAACGGTGTCAACTTCAATGCTCCCTTGCAGTTTATTAATGGTAATAATTGCTATAATTATTACTTTCAATAGTTCTTCCTTGTCTTTTATTCTATCTTTTATTACGTTAAGTCCTACAACAGCTCAGTTGCACTTTTTTCACATCAGCTGATTAAAACCCCTAGAATTATGTGTATATTGTTGGCACCTCTGCCATTGGTAAAAGGGATTTAAGAGTACGAAGGGTAAAGTAAAGCCCTTCAGGGCTAGTTTGTATTTATAGGCTCTAGATTCTATTTTTATCTCCCAAGCACACAGATGCAAACCCAAGGACAAAATCTTGCCTCTATGTAATTTCATTAATGGGTTGTGCAGAAACCTAAGGACAGGGGTCATTTAATTGGCACGAGCTCTTTCCTACTAGGAAGACTCTATCCTCAAGCTGCTCAACAGAAGAAAGGATTTTGTCAGGCAACAGACTTCTGGAATCTGCAAGTTTTCTCTCTTCCGAACAATGCAGTTTTGTTAGGATTGTCACTATTCAGCGTGGGATTTCCCAGTCTGTTCTGCGCTGAACAGAACTTGTAAAACAAGCTCTGTGTCCTGGAAATGCTGGAAAATCAACAAACTAACTACAGATCTACAGTGTGAGACTGCAGATGCAGAATACATGCTCTTCAGATGCTTGGTGAACCCGGTATTTTCAAGGCAAGTATACCCAAATAGGTGATTTGTGTATGTGCAGCAAACCTGCTGATGCTCACAATACATGCTAGATTAACCCTGCATGTGCAAATGCTCCTTTCATGCATGCTACAAATTTCTCAAATTTTTACCACATCGCAGCTCTAATCATGTATCTGGAAAGCCTGATTAAATTTTTAAACACGCTCCCCCTCCAAATTTTCCCTGGACCATGTCCAAATGGCTAACAGCCGTATATTTTACAGAAAACTCTGTAAAAACTACTTCCACACACAGAAGCAGAGTCCTACCAGAAAAGGATAACCACTTCACATATATGTATTTTTGACGTGTGATGCTAGCTAACACCCTGCAGTGCTCTGCAGTAACATAAACTGCCATTTCAAAGATCACCAGGAGAGCTGAACAAAAGCAATCAATGTGACTCCAGTACACATCTACTGACACCATCCATTGGAGACCTACCTGCTCAGGGCTGACAGTGATGGGCTCCTTCAGAACGTGCCAGATGACACATTCCAGCAGTGGAGGGGTGGTCAGCGAACCAGGGTACGTCCAATAGTCTCTACATGCAGGAAGCAGTCCAGTGGGGTCAAAGTTTGTGAAAGAAGCTTGCTTCCCCTACAATAAAGAAAGTAGGTGGGATAATGTCAGGGAACACACCACATATGCACGCTGGGCTTGCAGTAGTCAAGTCTCCTATGGGGAGCACCATGTTTGGAGAAAGGCAGAAATGGAGTTTGGCATGCAGTGTTGAGTGCCTCCTACACTCCTTTCGGGACTGAAGTCTTTCAGCAATGTATTTCTTATAAGACTTTCAAGACATTGTTTCTCACTTCAAATGTTGAATTTATGTTCCTTGCTCCTAGAGATATGATTTGACGCTGCTTGAAGGAACAATGAGATTTCAGATGCTAAGTAGACTGATGGTACTGGAAATAGAGAACGTGGGAGACCTGTTGAAGAGTCTGTTGCAGTAAATGGCAACATCCATTTACCTCAAACAGAGCCTGATAACAAAGATGACACTGTAGTCTCATTCTTTACCTTTCCTGTCCACATTTCTCATTGGCACAGGCCTTTACCTCTATGAAGGTACCTCATTACTGAGTACTTTTAGTTTCTCATAACTCAGCTCATTAAGATCACACACATGCTTCACACAATATTTAAAATACAGAAAAGCTTTTTTTCCCCTCAAGAGCTATATAGCCTGTTCGAAGTTCTTATCCGGCCTCCCTCTATAAATAGCCAAGAGAAGCATGCCCTCTTGGAGGAAGAAAATTTGTCCCACAGACACAGAGATGAGGGGAAGTGCCTTTTGCATCTGTCACCACTGACTAGAATGGGCACCTAAAAGAGTAGTTTAGATTAGGAAGATGAATCCTATCCTATAAGTTTAAATGCAGTTAAAAGACAGAGAAATGTATTCAGTGATACAAAATTATCTCCATTTCTAGTATTCCTTGCCATCTACCACAACTTCATTCAAATCTCTTGCATTTAGGATTACAGAAGCATCAGTGCTGAAGGCAGGAAGGTTTAAGTAAATAAAAAATAAAGTAAAAAAATCCACTTTCTGAAGATGACAACACAGCGTAGTTATGATCGGTGTCTGTCAATCAACACAGACAGCAATTACCTTGGTTTGAATGGAGTTCAGAGCATCCACAACTTTCTGTATTTCAGGCCTGGCATTTCCTACCTGTAACACAAAGCATATGAAAAGAAAATAACCATGCACTCTCATGACACCTTTAGTCTTCTGTTACAGTTCTCAAGGAAACATTTTATAGTACATTTTCCCAGCACCATTTCATTACATAACAGGAGTATTACAGCAAAAGTTACTGGAACTGTCTCTGTAAAATCATGCCAGTTGACAGTCAGCACAAATGGGTCAGCCAAGGACACTGGACAGAATAGTATCAGTTTCATTTACAGTGACTGGTTTTATTTTTGGACTTGAGCTGTTCTTTTTTTCATTGAAGTCACCCTCCTAATAAAGTACAATGAGGCCAGGAAAGAACGCACACCACTGGGACACAGGCAGCTTCTCCAACTAGCTGTGAAGACAATTCAACCAAGACAAAATGCTCTGGATGTTTAACAGTGACAGGAAAAAGAAAATAGGTGCAATTTAGGCTGCTCCTACTGCAGATTCATGCACACATGACTTTCAGTGATGCACATCACCTTTCACCAACAGAAGTTACAGCAGTGCCACTGTCGTGACGAAGGCAAGTACGTGCTATAGGGCTGCCACAGTGATGGGTGGCAGTCATACTCCATGGCTGGCGTACAATTTTTGTATGTAAAGAAAACCAAGAATTTGGAGCACCATCTAGCTAGCTATGGGTTTACGCAGTATAACATAATGCTGCCTTATTCTATATTTTAGGCTCTTAGGTCCCCCTGCAACATAATGAATACACTGGACACATCTAAATAATACAAAAGAAGAAGTTTAACTAACCTTCATGAAGATGCCTACCACAGCCAAACCATCAGGATGCTTCACAGCTTCAGCAAATTTACCATATTTTACATTCCAGTGAACAATATGGAGCTAGGAGCAAGAAAACAAGAAGCACTATGAACATGATATTCCATCTACAATATTTTACAAATGAGAATTCAGGGAAGTAATTTATTAAACATTAAGAGCAGATGGTGTTTTACTGCTGAGATTTAAAAACTTTTGTGTACAGTTAAGAATTTGTTGAATCATTCATCTACTTTCAAATTTCATTTATGCAAAGAGATTTCTGTCATGCACTTTATTTTGCTTCTCACTCTTATTCCCAGACGAGTTTTAAATGCAAACTGTGACTGTATCGTTCTGCTTTTAGTCTGGTGAAATTCCTGTTATCTTCAGCGGGAGTTTTTCCTGCATGCAGCCTGCAAGATTTTGATGTAGTGTGTTAATGCTACATATATCCTGGAATTCTTATCAACATTGAAATACATGATTTTCCAGCATCAGAGAGAAGAGACAGATTTGACCTGCAATCTAGAGAGTTTTTTTAAAAAAAACATCCTGTCCTTTTCTAGAAAGCCTTTGAAAAGAAATTAAATGAATCTCTGGGTCATGTTAACCAGGATGTTGCTTTCCTTTTCATTTCCAAGTTATTTCTACTTCAAGTTCATCTGACTGCTTCTCCATATCTGCAAGTCAAGTTGAGCAACTAATTATGGTACTGTGAACAGATGTAAGGCAATAAGAAGTTTCTCAGATAAGACAAAAGATACTGTATCTCATGAAAAAGCAGCAGAGCCAATGAATTTGTGGAGCCATTTCTTTTATCCGTCAATGCAAATCAAGGGTTAAAAAAGTCCGTCACAGCATCCAGAAGTGGATTTTTAAACAGGGGACAAAGAAAGGTGGGATGCAAGGCACGGAAGTCATTCCATTTCTGTAGTGAGACTGCAATGCAGTCCAAGGGACATCTGGAGTCTCGAGGATATCACACAGAGTACCTGCGTGCTCTCACTTTGCTGCCTGCCCTCTTCACAGCTCCCCTTGCTTCTTTCCTACCAAAAGATGAAAGGGTCTGCCCCACAACCATTCTGTTGTTTACATAAATGTCTCTGACATTAAAAATTGAAGCCAGGAAAAGGGGATGTGTGTGTACAGAGGTGCTGTGATTCTATTTCTTCGTAATTTTCAAGAGTCACTGAGAAAGGAGGGGAAGAACGGGGATAATTAGTGTGGGTTTTTCTGCTTCTGTAGTCTCTTTGATATGAAGTAGCTGAAAAAAATTTACACTAGTCCTCCAATTCTACTCTCTGCTTTTGCAAGGAGTAGGTCCTGGGGTGGCAATATCTTCTATGATAATCTCCACAATCTCTTGCTCTATGAAGATTTGTAGAGAAGCTGATACTGTGGTGGAATATAAAAAAAAAATAATACTCATTATACACAAAAGATTGGAGAAGGTAAAGCGTGCCCTACCTCTGCATCATACTTCACACCATCCACAGTGTGCTCAGACCCTTGGCCGTCACAGGATCCCCAGTGAATGTGAAACTGTGCCAGCCTGTAGACTCCGTCCAGCGCTCCTCCTTGCAGCACTGCAAAGCAAAGAGCCTCCGTTAGCATCTCCCGCAGCCTTTGCACTTCAAACAGGAACGTCCATCTCAAGTCTTCCAAGTGAATTACAGTTCATTGCTCTGCATGCTGCCATGCTACTCCAGATCATCGTCAATGGTACATTGCTGCAATACGCCAAAATCCATAATAAACATATAAAACCATAAGTGACTTTACAGTGAGTGTCTCATCAGCAATTTAACAGGCATGCTAATATTACAGGTGACAAGGGAAGTGTTAAGGATGTAACTTTTCTGTCACCAAATAAGTAAAAAAAGGCCAAGAACAGCCTTTGTAAGAGTCCCATGTAGAGTTATTCTATGAAAGTAGACTTAAAGACCAAATCATCTTTCCCTTACTAATGTACTCTGTCCCTTCATTTTAGACACTACATCCATTTAGGCCTTAATCCTGCAAATCCCATGGTGGATTGGATTGAGTAAAATGCTTTTGGTTCCAAATTAAACCTAAACACCTGTCAGCCACGGGTTGCAGCAAGGGAAAGCGCTAGGCACAGTGCAAAGCACTGCAGAGACGCAAATTCAAATCTCTTATCCCTCCCATCCTTTACTGCTCAAGAATAAGTTTAAAAATGGTGGCGAAAAGGGCAATGCCTGCAGAGGCAGATTTTTTTTTTTTTTTTAAAATATGGATTGGAAATGAGGCGTTTACTTATGCTCTCCACTATCTGACATTACTCCTGCCACGGGACTGCTGTAAGTAGAGTGCCCAGCCACACTTTCAATTACACCGGAGCAAGCTCCCCTGAGCTCCCTTATTCTGCTGCTTAGTTTTAACCTCGTACTTAAACTGTGACCAATCACCATTATGATATGCAGGATCAAGCCCTATTACTGCAAAATGCTCAAGGCACAGACAATGTCTCCTCCAGTGCAGCATAAAGCACAGAACAATAACAAATAGTTCTATTAAATAGAGCTATTTATCTAAGTTATTAGAGCAAGGTTTCAAACTGGTTTGTGGTTTGGTTTGGGGTTTTTTTTTTGGTTGGTTGGGTTTTTTTTGCTAAGCATCTCAAATTCACAATTAAAGATTTAAGATGTTAACATTTAAAAATAAAAAATGTTTTTAAATGTAATTTGAAGTGTTATACATCTTAGAGATCAATTTATATATACACATAAATATATATATACACAATAAAGTGACAGAAGAGTGTTGAGATCAGATATTACATTAAGTGTGCTCTGTGTCACAAACAAAATGGTTCTGTGGAATAAAGATGCTTCCTCTCAAGTCTGCAATTAGTCTAGACACAATACGTGCATGTGTGAAAATATACACCAAATGGAAATAGGAAAAGGTCACTGTCTGTTCAGGTTTGAATAATTCTGATCATACACAAGCATAGACGACAACAGCCATGGATATCTGGCAATGGGGTGAGAAGGATTGGACTAAAAAACTGGAATATATGAAAATTAAATATAAGATTTATACAAAACACATTCATTTCCACTGGTGTGCCTTACACGTGCAAAATTTGGGTTGAGTGGACAAATTTAGCATTTGCCTGGGTCTCCTTTGGTAAATATATTTAGAAGTCTCCCAACATGCATTTCAATTTGAAAAATATGAATATATGTTCCACTGCAGTCTTTGTCATTTCCAATACTAAAGCCAACACTGAACAGCCAACAGACCGAAACTTGCCCTTACTATTGCCAAGCTATGTGCTACAAAGAACGGCTACTTAAAGTAATTAAATAGGAACATATCTTATTCTACTTTTATGTTTCTGCATGTGCTAGCTGCCAGGAAGCATAACTGTTTCAAGCACGGGACTAACAATCGGAATACTTTTTTTTCAGAACAGTGACTGTGAACGTGCGTTAGCTCCTTTTGAAAATGAAGTAATTGGTTGCTATGTCTTTACAGATGCAAAATCATTTAATACACACAATATCATGTTTCATTTAAAAATGATGCCATGGAGTTGCAATGTTTCTGTTTCATTTCCTTTGGCTAATGGACTTGCTGCTCGTCGCAGGTACAAACAGACTGAGTTCCACCATCCCTCAATCTCAGAAAGCACTAGCGCAGCACAAGTGAATCTGCCATTATTAATCAATGGAAAGCATGCTGAAAAGCAGAACCATGCAATCTTCTCAAATCTATTCGCAGTGTTAATTCTCTACACAGTTTGCTATAGTCTCATAAAACTCAAAAGATGCAGAAAAATCTCTTTGCAGTTTTTGCTTACTTTTCTCATTCTGTGGTTCTCAAATCCAGCACTAGCTTATTTTGACTCACAGCAAAGCATTCAAAGAAAGTAATAATTAGATTAGTGTAAATGAATACAAATTCAGCAGGCTTAATTACAGAACAGCCCTTCTTGTTCTAGCCTACATTAAGCAGTTATTATTTTTTAATACTTGTCAGCTTTCCCAAAGAAGTGAAATTTAAAATCAAACTTACAAGGCAAAGTAGAAATGTTAGAGCTTCAACTTTTTCCAGCACAAGCTTTTTAAACCATGAATAAATGCTAACAGCTTTTGCAAAGTAAAAGTTCATCGAGAATTAGAGCAACATTCACACCAGGAACTTCCCTGTCCCGTGTGACAGGAACTTTGATTCAGGCCACATTGACGACAGAAGTCCAACCTTTCCATCCCCTTTTTGTTTGAGGGATGGGTAAATTCTGATCCATATTTGAGCATCTCATCACTAGCTCCCTTCCTTTTGAAATTAGTATTAGTGTACACCATCCTGGAAATACATATGTAGCTGTGCTCCCGTTTGTTATATTGCACAGCTTCAGATGCAGGGTGAAGACAGCACCAGCCAACCTGGAAAACACATTTCTTCCTTACAGATTCATCCTACTCAACACAATCCACACCAGTAACCTGGTCTCCATAGATCTGTAAGAGTCCAAGAAGTGACAGCTTGAAAATGAAAGGGGTTTTTTTTTTCCCGTTTGACAGTTATTTGAAATATTACGGCGAGACAAATTTGGAACTACTTTGCTTAGATTAAGAAATAGTAACTGTTTTCAGCCTTCTACCCTTTACTGAAGAAGTTATACTAGTAACATCCAATAATTATATTGCACTGTTATTAAATGATCTCATAACATTTTCTAAACATAAGTATTAGCAGCGCTAATTTGGAAAGTCAAATAACCACACGAACTATTCCATTTACATCTGTGGGATTTCTTGGGTAAAGAAGGTGAACTCGATTTGTCTCCATTACACTTTCTTAGGATCTTTGGAAACGTACAGAAATCAAAGGGTGTTTTGCTCCATCTGGGACAGCTGTTTACTGAGGCCACACAACTTCACTGTTCTATTTAAAGGCAAGTCACTGGGTAGTTACCCTTCCCATGCAGAACAGATCAGCTTTGTAAAAAATACCGTGGACCACTTCATACCTTTTTTTCAGGAAGTGGCGGCATCCACATCTGTGAATTTTTGCAGGAATACTGTGGAATTACTGTTATTTAGTTACCTCCTACGAGATGTTCTCTCTATACAGAGCTGGAAACTAGTAAGTCTCATCAAGGCAATAAACCTGCCAAAGAAATAATCAAAATGGCTGAACTACAAGATTGTTTCACAAGTCAGAATTAATTCCTTCCTGCAATACAAATTAGTGTGGTAAGTAAAACACTACTCCAAAGTTTGTAACTCCGAGAAAATGCAGAATGAGAAAATGTTCTTCAAATGGAAATGACTGACAGCAAAGCTCCTTCCAGTAGCTGAAATAATAGGTCCACTACAGCACAACAGATGTCCAGAGCTCTAAGCTTCAGAAATTTAGTTCTGAGATTCCACCAAACAAAAACCCAGCAGCAGTGTATTTCAAGCATCTAACTTTGATGACAACCCTCTTGCACACATTGTATGATCTTATACCAGCCTACAGTAGATGTGCAGACATATATGATGTTGTAGGTATGTGTGTGTGTAAATATATGCATAGTATATACATTAATGTTAATGTTTTGTAAGCTTTTGTGTATACACAGACATCTGCATGACAGAAAACAGGCCTTGAGGAGACAAAGTAGATGAAGCAGTACTTGAGAAAAAAAAGTCTTGAGCACCATGCACTATTAATGGCACAAAAAAAGGCTCTTATGAGGATGCTCAGGGATTAGCCTTGTGTTCTTATGCAAGGATGGGCTTCCCTGTCTAACAGACTGGAGTTCAGTTAGGGTGAGCTGTCACTTCTGGGAAACGTGGAGTACAGAGCGTCACATTTTGTGAGATGTTTCCGTCTTTATGTTATCTCTTTCAGACATTCCTCCTAGGATGCTGTATCATGGCACGCAAGAGAGCAAGACAGCACGCAAGCATCTAACTGTAGGGATCATACTTGTAGAAAACATGTGTAATGGGCTTCACCAAGAGAAAAACTACGTAACTGGTATCTCATAAGAAAAAAAAAACCCTACTCTGACCTTGCTAGAGGGTTAGCCAGATAAGGCAACAAGGATGGATGTTCCACAGAGATAGACCAGAATGAAACATCTGCCAAAATGCAGCAGGTCTGCAGACGTGTATCGGCAGTAGGTCAGTGATTCTGATTCACCTCAGCTGAACTATTTCATCCAGACTGGAGAGCAGCCAGAGAGTCATTCAGGCTCTTAACTTTCCTCCCACTCCCTGGGACCAGTGGAGTTTATTTCTCAGGTAGTCTCTCAAATACATATTCTCCGAGAGTCATAAGGTGCTATACCGAGTCCCTGATCCGCCTTCAATCCTCATGTTTCACACCATATGAGCTGACAATGAATTTGTAAGAACAGAGTTGGAAGCATTAAAATTCTCTCAAAAGTAACAATTTAATTTCTGATGGTAATAGCTATAAAACTAATCTCAGTGACTGCTTACAGTACTGAAAATTGTGTATTGGACATGGTGCTCATACTATATTGAGATCTAATGAAGGAAGAAAAAACTTAAGGTGTGAGCATTGCCTCTAAGTAAGCAGCAGTCCCTCATGCCTATAAGTAGATGAACAAATATATCAGCTGGGATGAGCAGTCATAGTGACATCTGGCATGCAGCTTCATTGCATCTTAAAAATAAACTTTTCCAAGTGGCCCTGGCTGATAGCAGCTGACTAGCTTTTCCTGGTTTTACACTAAAAGCACCTCTAGAGGAGGAATTTGGAAGAAGGGAAGGAAGTTGCCGTGATTCTTAAACACACAATCCATGTCAAAATTTCTGCTCAGAAGTTGCATGTTAAGAAAAAAGAGTTGATGTAAGGGAGGAAAGGCACTTTTGGGCTCTGTAAAGAAATGAAGGCTTGAAACATGCAGGACTGATCTCAAGCCCTCTCGTCTTCCTTTCCAGTTCCTGGAAGCACTAGAACTATTCTCAAGTCACCTGCTTACGTAGGCTTTGCAGCTTCTGGTGATCCCAGTTCACTAGAAAAGTGCCTTAATGATCTCACACCCTCTGAGACCTCTGACTTTCTAGTCAAGCAGTGCACAAAAGTACTTGTGACACACGGGCAGGTACCTGAATACTGTAAGCTATAAGCAATCAGTTCCTTGATTTATGATTGAGAAAGGTCACCACATTGCTTAGGCTGTGCTGTATTGTGGACTTTCAATCCACGACTGTATACTGATAACATGCAATATTATTCTAGCATAGCTAATGTTACATCTTTGGAGCTGGGAAGCCTAAAAATAGCCGGTGGCAGTGACTTGGATTAAAAATTGTGCCTTAAGGACAGCAGACCTGCGTGTTTCTTCCTCAGCTTACCCGCTGAGGCAGAAGCGTAGGAAAAGATCAACAGTGGCACAACTTTCAGAGCAGCTCACTGCCAACCAAGCAGTGCTGAGCAACAAATTGCTATTTAATAACAAATAAAATAAATTGGTTTGTTTACAGCGAGTCATAATTCAAGACAGTTGAAGCTTCCTCATTAATATTCACAATTATAGGAAGAATTGGGTAATATATTTGATTACAACCACTGAAACTCTCCCAAGGGGTGCTAGCATCAAGGTCAATCCAGCATTTTCATTTCCCTAGGTGTCATCATAATTTTGAAGTTCTACTATGATTTAATATTTGCAGAAATGTTGGATTTACTTGGGACTCTGTTTTGGATTTCAGCGTTATCTCTAGCTCAGCAGTAAGGAAGGAAAAGGAAAAGATTAGGAGATTTGTCCACAAGCAGAAGTTACCAATACATTTAGTAATATCTGTAGAGCCTTACACCATAGTTGCAATTCACTTCTTTCAGGTTCTACAGCTAAAATACAATATTTTAGCATTCTTGTTCTGGAATAAATTAATTGCTGATTGACTTCTGCCATTTATAAACTCATCAAACTCATGATCAGAAAATACAGAATACAGTGCCTACTGCTGTGAGCATTTCCCATTTGAATTTCAGGTTTCAGTTCAATTCTGAAAGCTTTCTGGGAAATGCACAGAGACAAATTGTTATCAAATCTTCTTTGGGGCTCTGGAGGCTTTCTTGAGCAAAGTCACTTCCTGTGGTCTTGCAGCTCTGAGAAGCCGCTGTTTACTTCTGTCTTTTAAAGTGAGTGAAACAATACGCGTGTCCTTACAGCAGACTATAATATAAAGTGTTTAATATAATAAGTACCCTTAATGAGACACTCCTTTGCTATAAAGTTCCTAAAATAAGGTGCATTATTATGATTTAACAGTTATCAGCACCATTTGCTTCACTCATACATGGAAGGTCAGGTCCCAGGTTGCAAGAATGAACGAACCTGAATTTGGCATTTTATTCCTAGTGACACTTTTATCATAATGAATTTTTGCTTTTATTTAAAGCTATAAAAATTTTAAAGATGAATGGCTTGAACTTTTATTATTATTTTTATTATTGAAAGACAGTGGACACGAGAACTAAGAAAGCACCTGCAAGAACTGAAGAAGAGAGACTAAGTAAAAACTGGAAGAGGAAGTAAATTCACCATTTGCTTTCTACATACAAGTTCAAGAAAACATTCTGAAAGACTGCAAGGAAACAAGACAGAAGATATCCTTTCATCTAAGGGAAGCTCATGGAATTTCAGCAAGCAAAAAAATGTTTATAAACATGGGAATGTTGGTTTGTGATTTCCTCTCCATACACCATTTCTATCAACTAGCAACTGTGAAACATGAAGGGGATTCACTTTGGGAATTGACTGAGCCTTTAGAAGTGTATTCTGGAATATAACAGCTGTCACATAACCCAAGAAATTCAAAGGCAAGAACTGAAATTGAAGATTTGGGG